TGATTTAATCATATCTCTTCCGTCTGAAGTCCGATTTTGTTGACTCAATATGATCCGAATAGCCAACAAAGTTTTCTACAACTTTTATATTTCACGTTTTCTGAGATTCAGACTGGTCATGATCAAAGTAATCCTCGAAGTCGGAATAGGTGTGCTGTAAAAATACACCTACTATGGAACCACAAAAAATATTAAATAATATTCATGAATCAAAAATAATATATAATCTCATCATTATTCTTCGATTTCGTCTTCTTTCACCAAAATTTCATGCATTGGACATTGGTGAGGCGTTTAATATGCGATAAGTTGCATTGGTCACGAACGGTTCTATTTTACATGAGAAGGTGCATTGGCAGTTTTAGCACCCTTTCGTGTTGTTATCATAACTCCTCCTAAAATATCCATTTGTGAAGTTTAACATGATCTGGAAAGAAAACTTGATTATCTACAACTTCTGTGAAATGTTAATTTTCCATATTCGGACTTTAACATCTTCGAAAATGGGAAAGAACGTGGACTTCATGTTCTGTTCGAAAATGAACTTTTTCCTCCAATTTGATTTTGTAACTTCTTGATTTTTGGCAGATTATCTTCTTCTCCATCCCGTTTACCAACGTGTGCAGAAAACTCATTTTACTAAATCACACAAAAATATCTTCTTAATATTGTTGTTCCCGGTATATAAAACGGATAGTAGATTTAGTAAATTGGTCGAACAAAATTAGTGAAAATACGAAAAGATTAGCCGAGGCAAGAAAACTCTTTCCTGAAGATGATATTGCCCCGCTACGGTGCTTACAGTTATTTGACAATGGTCTCCCAAGATATAACGGCTAATTCGGCATATGAGCACTCAAAATCCCGAGTACAACGAACGTTATTTTGTGTCTCAAACTCTCGAATCGAATACGGAAGAAAATATTCTGCGAAGAATATTTCCGGGCTAAAGAAAGATGAATTCCATAAACCAAAATTATGGAATTCAATTGATTTTTATTTTATTAAATCAAGGGCAAATTACGGCCACCCCCCTGAGCTATGGTGAAATTACGAAAACCCCCCTCCTGTTTGGGTAATTACAGCCACCCCCCTCAACTATATATTTATCTTACGAAAAGACCCCTCAAGAGGTAATTTTAGGTATGTTAATTCGGTAAAACTGAACGAAAATTTCGGTACGCCAACATTTCATACCGTTTACCGAACTAAATATACGATTTGGTTCGATAAATAACCGAATTACATAAATTTTACGTAAAAATATTTAAAATGAGGGGGTGGCTGTAATTACCCAAAAAAGAGGGTTTTTTAGTAATTTGACCATACCTGAGGGGGGTGGCCGTAATTTTCCCTTAAATCAAACATGTGGAGCTTTTTATTTATTTGTTTCCAATGGTTGTGAGTAATGAACACAACCCTTAGGAAATTAAACAAAATGAAAAAGTATGGCCACACCTCTTCATATTGTTGCATATTTGATCAAATAGGTGCCTATAACCTTCCTTTTTTTTTCATTCAAAAAATAATTTTATTTTAATAAATAAATTGCCAACAACTACTACTTCGGACAAGAACAAGAAACCTATTAGAGCGGGTCCCGATGGGCGAAAGGCGAACCCATTTGATTTTGGCTCTAGAGTTAATGGTTTATGAACCCAACACAAGCCCTCGATCATGTCCTAGCATACGAAGCAATAACCAATGATTAACAATGAAAAACTTCAGATGATAACATGAGACAATAATACTTGTAATAAAAAAAAATCAGACACCATCTGACCTTAACTATCCATCAATTACGTTTCTGAATCTGAACAAGTCGTTTTCGATCTCTCGAACAATGACAAATGTTGAGGTGGCAGAGAGTGTGTATGAAGAAGTTGTTGTACCTCCGATAGGTTCCAAAGTCAGTGGTGTACCTCGAAAACTAGAGTTTAATAGGGTTGGGCAAAGCATCAAATTTACTGTATACTTTGATGTAATTGCTCCTTCTAAAGATTATGTTTTTCGATCCTTGACGTCGAGGCGTAATGGATATTTAATGCAACCCCGTTGGTTGTTCGGATCGTAAATTATAAGTTCGGTAGTTACATGGTGCCATTCATAAGTTGTAATTGTCGTGAAATCTTAAACAAGCAAGGAATTATTTACAAATTAAAGTTAATTTATTGAATAAAATAGTTGGAGTTACAATCTTCTATCCCGATCCATCTAATTATTTTATTTTTGTGGAATCGCCTTTTCAACTCTTCTTGATTTTTATTTTGTTCATCAATAATGATAATTCCAGGATTTGATCAATTTACTCTGGAATTAAATATTTGGACTTGTTTTTCCCCTCTAGAAATAAATATATATAACAATATTTGGCTCAAAAATATATACTTTAGTGTCTTGAAACATATATATATATATATATATATATATGTATATATATATGTTCTTCAACATTTGTGTCAAATATACAATTTAATTAGTAACAAATAATGCGTTGGCATATTGGAATTGCGTGATGAAACACATACATGTAAAGACAAAAGATAGATTTTTACAAGCCAGCCATATTTATTTAAAACTACTTATATATAAAATTTAAAACAAAGAAAACTTAACGATGAATTTATTTGACTTCATCTTACAATCACATCAGCCATTACAACAAATTATTATTATTGGCTCTATTTATTGGGAATACTCCATAGTTCATTTTAGTTTATTGAAAATAATTTGAAGAAAGATGGCATTAATTAGCTAAGATAATTACTAATTTTAATAGGGCGCAACATGATGAAACATTTTTTTACCACAATTAGCATCAACGCAGTTTTGATCTGTTTTACAAGATGGATGGCACGGGGCAAGGGCAACCCTTGTAATAATTCCTGCTGGTTGCCAGGCTTCCACTTCAAACATTTTTTAGAAACAAAGTATAACTGCACACAATAAAATTAAAATTAATAAACAATAAGAAAGAGTCGAGCTCGAGTTTTGGTTGAGAAGCTTTTGAGTTAATTTAGAATCAGAGGCTTTTATGCTTTACCTGATGAGGTGATTAAAAGAAGAGCAAAGAAAACTATTTTTAGGTGCAATATTCGCCATTTTATGTTAAATTTTCAGTATGAGAACAACCAAATTTATAGGCAAATTTGCATCCACACAAACCCCATGAGCTATATATTTTACAATATTGTTTATGTACTTAGAATTAGATCATGCCCACATGCTTTATGAATGCATACATACTACTTATGTATGTTAGTTATCTTTTTGTTTGTATGGTTATTTCTAAATACTCAGTAGTAATACAAATTGTACTTGAGTTTTCATTATAGGCAATTATCAATAGGCTCATATGAAATAACTTATAAACAAATAAGTATGGTAAAAAACTAATTTATCTTAAAGGACAAACATGATTCTTTTTTTCATAAAATATCATCAAAGACAAACACTCCTCAAATTCTAAGTTACTTGAATTTCGTCAATCAAACTTTAATTTAACTTCAATTTCATCAATTGGCCCTAATTTTGACCGCCGTTACTTTTGACCGAAGTTGAAGATTATTTTTTATTTATTTTTTAACATAGTAATATTAATTCTTTTAATGTTTTTTTTCTTTGTAAAGTAATATTAATTATTTATTTTATTTTTTTTCAGTTTTTTATTTCGAACAATGTTATTGTGTTGTTGACTAGCATTGTCACTGTGTAACACATCAACTAAATTTATTTTTTTGCAATGAACGGTTTGCATAAAACAGTTTTGCTTGCTTTTAGTTAATTTTTCTGAATTTTGATTGATAAGATTAGAGTCAAAATAACACGCTTTTAACACGTATTTCAAATATTAGTACTTTTATGATTTTTCTTGAGGGTTGTTTATTTTTTTTCCTCAAAAGCATCTGGTGTTTACTAAAGCATTAGTGGTGTCGTGCTCTTATATTTCTTAAGGGGCAATATTGTAACCATAAGTACAAGAAAAGAAAAAGTGAATCATATATCAAATTATAAAACATAGTGGTGCATCACCAATTCCAATAAAAACGCTTATATCACTTAATATATATGTATATATGTTTTGCTCTTTTATTTTTTTTTTGAAATGCAACATTTAAGGTAGGTGTAGCTTATTGGTTTTTAATAATATTTTTTTGCTTTTTAATTTTTTATTCTTTTATTTTATTAAATATGGAGTTATTACAACCTCTATTTCGATTTGTCTTATTATTTTGTTCAAGAATTTTGTTTTTTGGAATCTCCCCTTTCAAGTTTTTTGAATTTTGACTTTCGGTCTTCAATTAGGGTTGGGTCAATTGACTCTCGAATTCAATATTTGAACTTGTATTTTCTTGCTCAAACTGATCAACATCTTTTAAAAAATCTTGTATTTCCTCTCTAGAAATATATATAGGGAAAATTACGGCCACCCCCGTAATGTATGGTCAAATTACGAAAAAACCCCTCTTGTTTCGGTAATTACAGCCACCCCCCTCCTTTTAAATATTTTTACGTAAAATTTATGTAATTCGGTTATTTACCGAACCAAATCGTATATTTTGTTCGGTAAACGGTATGAAATGTTGGCGTACCGAAATTTTGGTCCGGTTTTGCTCAATTAACCACCCTAAATTTACCTCTGGAGGGGTCTTTTCGTAAGATAAATACATAGTTGAGGGGGGTGGCTGTAATTACCAAAACAGGAGAGGGGTTTTCGTAATTTGACCATAGCTAGGGGGGTGGCCGTAATTTGCCATATATATATATATATATATATATATATATATATATATATATATATATATATATATATATATATATATATATATATATATATATATATATTTCTAGAGAGGAAATACAAGATCTTTTTATATGCATGTAAAGACATAAGATATATGTAATTTGTAAAAACAGGAGATATATTTTTACGAGCCAACCATATTTGTTATTTGTGTAAACCTACTTATATAGGTGGCAAAAATGCATCAAACCCCAGGTAAATGAAAATAAAGGTGAATTTATTTAATTTCGTCTTACAATCACTATAGCCATTACATGAAATTATTACTATTGGCTATATATGATTATTATGAACACTCCACATTTCATTTTTATTGAATATAATTTGAAGAAATATGGCATTAAAAACTAAGACAATTACTTATTTTAAAAGGGCGCTTCATGGTGAAACATTTGCTACCACAATTAGCATCAACGCAGTCTTGATCCGTCTTACAAGGCGAATAGCACACAGCAAGGGCAGCCCTCGTAGTTTCTGTTGGTTGCAATTCGATGGCTTCCACTCCATTTATTTTTGAGGAATAAGGTATAACTGCATATTATAATAATAATTGAAATTAATGAATAGTTAAAAAAGTTGAGCGCTCGAGATTTTGTTGAGCTAGCTTATTAGATTTTTACTTTATTGAGAACATGGCCTGAAGAATATAAATCTAGAATTCATATAGAATCATAGGTTAATTTTACCTGATGAGGTGATCAAAAGGAGAGCATAGAGAATTATTCTAGGTTGAGTAGTCGCCATGTTTTCTGTTGAATTTTCTATGTGAGATCAACCAAATATATAGGCAGATTTTACCCACTTTGTATATCACACAAACTTCATGAGCTATTTTTCATATTTTGTCTATTAATTTAAGGGAAATTCCACTTTCTCCTCTTGTACTCTAGGACGAAATCATTTTACCCCCTTCTACTTCTAATTACATCGATTTGCCCCCGTCCACTTGTATTGTTTTCCAATATGGTCTTTGATGTTAGTTTTCATAGGCTTGACCTTGACACCGTTAGTTCAAGGCTGTAAAATTACAAAAATGCCTGGCCCAACTCCAAGTTGAAATCGGCCGAGTCAAGGTTTGAGTTGAATGAGTGGAGTTTCAAGTCTTCAATCAATTAACGCCACACGAATTGCACCTAATTGTTTAATATCTATATCTTACGTCGTCTCTCATCTCCATGGGTGGAACCAGCATAGGCCCAAGGGGGGCCGTGCACCCCCTCCTAACATTTCTTAAATCGATCCTTTAATTTTATATAGAAATATAATTTATTTTTTTCATGTAAAATAGCATTAATTGCTTCTTCTCAGAATTTTTTAATTCATATTTTATCTACTAATCTAATTGTTTAATATCTATATCTTACGTTATCTCTCATTTGCCATCACATTAGTTTTATATGCTTATTAGACTAATCCTAGCTCCTTGAAATTATATGAGATATCTTATATTATCTCATTAGTTTTAATTTCTAATTTTTACTAATTGAAATTAAAAAGAACATATAAAATGCAACTAGAGTTTGATTTCGGAGTTAATATCTAATTTTTACTAATTAAATTTGAAAGAAACAAATAGTATGTATCTAGAGTTGGATATATACCATTCCTATTGAGTTTCAAACCTACTTGAGATATTTCATACCCACATTTTATTGTCCTCATGCTTTATGCATGCATACAGACTACTTATGTTAGATACAAGATGAGTATTAAAATCTAAAGTTGTCATTAATTAATTGTGAATATTTAGGTATAAAAGTTCTCTTTTTTGTTTGAATAGTTAATAATACAAATTGTCTTTGATACGTAATAGTAATACAAATTGTCCTTGAGTTTTCATATGGGCAATTATCAATAGACCCATAAGAAATAACTTATAAACAAGGTCCATTTGATATACACCCTTAGTATGGAAAATATATAGGGATAAGTACATCCCTAAAATTCTTTCTTTGAGATACCTCCCTGAAGAGGTAAAAGTATTATTGTGCCCTTATTCGTAATTTTCGCCCAACTGCATTCAACATTTCGCCAGTTGCATTAAGCATAATAGCCAACTGCATTTAGCATTTTTGGACATGCATTTATCATTTTTTTCAATTTTTTTATTTTTTTTTATTTTTATTTTTATTTTTTATTTTTTTTTTTATTTTTTTTTAATTTTTTTATTATTTTTTTTTTAATTTTTTTTTAATTTTTTAATTTTTTAATTTTTTTAAAAATAAATTTTCTATAAGTTTTCTGTACACAAATTGACTATATATGACTATAGTATATGTAGTCATGTACCATCTCTTTGCTCCAAAGTTATATATAGTCATGTATAGTTATCTATAGTCGACCAACTACGTAGACCGGTGATTATATACAAACAAATTTCTACACCTAAAAATTCACAATTTAATTCTTGATATTATAAATCAACTTGTTCAAATATAGATCGAAATACACAATCACATGCATATGTTCTTCAACAAAGAACAAATCATCATCGATTAGTACCGAACAAAAAAATGGAAAAACATAACTACACATCAAAAAAACGACACAGTTTATATATATATATATATATATATATATATATATATATATATATATATATATGACCACACGTGACTATACGTGTATAGTCATATATAATGTAGTTTGTAGTTTATAGCTTCAAGACGAGAACAACTTGTTTTGAACGACGAACACAACGTCCACTACGTCCACTATGCAGAAACTTACTACATAATAGTTCAAACTCCAAGACCTGCGAAAAAGAAAAAGAGTTAAACAAACAACGAATTTTGCTTCAAATTTGAATCTGCACACACGCGCACACACACACACACACACACACACACACACTTTCACCTACTGATATACATACACATCACAAGCATATACTTCCCACATAACTCATACATGACTACATGTTACTACATAGTGAAAATTATAAATCATAACTTTTAAGGGGTAAATCATAAAAATTGGACCTAAAAGATTCACCGAGCATACAAAATTTCATTTAATTACGACACGCATGTCATTCAAATGGCAGAAAAAAATTAGAATATTATGTAATAATCTAAAAAAAGCACAAAGAACTCGATCAAACACGAAACTGATTAAAAAATCTAGCCAATTGAAATAAATTATCAGTTGAGTCGAAGAATCAGAGTCGAATTAAAGCCGTGTACAAATGACTACAAAACTACAAGTCCATCTATTACTAAATGTGACTATATAGGACTGCAGTCATCTATAGTCATATATAGTTTTATATAGTAAAATTCATAGCACATCTAAGTTTTAACATAAGTTTTATATTGCTAATCCATTCATAATTCTAAGCTAACTCCTACACCAACAATTAAGTAATAGTTACAACTCAGTGATATAAAAGCAAATTGCAATAAATAGCCAATTATAATGCAATTGCAGTCAAATTAGCTAACTAAGCCACACATCTCCACCAAAAACAAAACAGACTAATATAACAACAAGAATTAACACTCTTTGCCACTAATTATTACGAAGACGAACTAAAAACATGCGCTTATTTACTTCAAACATCATAATTTGCAACTAAAATAGCAAATTAGTTTCTAAATCCTGAAAATAAAAAACAAAAAATAGAGAAACACGTAATAACTTACACCAGGGGACGCCTAGGGATCCAAAATCCGACTCGAGGCCATCAAATCCAACTAATAATCGGGAAATATGAGCTAAGGGGGAAGCCGAGATACAGACCAAATCTCGCGAGTAGATAACCAGAGAAGAGATAATCACGACTGCAATCCCCATTATCAGAACGGGCCATATGTACCCGGTGCAGCGGCGAGGGCGTCAGTGACATTAGCGGAGGAAGAGAGGGAACGGAGCGGCAGAGAGAAGACATCGAGAGAAACATATAAGGCTACGGTTTGTGAACGTGGTGGAGGAAGAGAGGGAACAGAGCGGCAGAGAGAAGACATCGAGAGAAACAGATAGGGCTTGGATTTGGGAACGTGGTTCTAATAGCTAACTTTATAAGGGCAAAACAGGTATTTTAAGTTATCCAGGGGTTTATCAAATTAAGATTAGAATTTGGTTTTTAACTAGGGAAGAAAAATCCATAGGACCTATCCCTATATATTTTCAAAATTAGGGGGTATCCCACATTTCCCATATAAACAAATAAGTATGACAAAAAACAAATTTATCTAAAAGCAAGAACATGATTCTTGGTTGTTGGAACGTGAGGGGCTTTAATAGCGCCCTCACGCAGAAATGGGTCGGGGACCTCATTGGCAAACATAAGTTGGCTATTTGTGGGATTCTGGAGACGAAGGTTTGGGACCCGGGTATCTTGGATTCTATTATGAAGCTACGGTTTAGACAGTGGGAGTATATGAATAATTTCCACCTCCACCGTACCAATCGAATTCTCATCATATGGTATCCGGATGTAGCAAGAGTGGAGTTGGTCAGTATGATGAAGTTGTATGGGGGACTTTAACGCTGTCATAAAACCAACGGAGAAGTCGAGAGGTATCTCACACCTTATATGATACATGACATGCGGGAATGTATAGGGGTGTGTGACTTGGAGGATTTGCCATCTTCGGGGCTTCATTACACGTGGTCGAACCACACGGTGTGGAGTAAGCTCGACCGGGTGTTGGTGAATGAGGGGTAGAGGAATGAATTTAGTGGGAGCTCGACTAAATTCCTCCCATTTGGTCCGGTCTCGGACCACGAGCCAGTTGTCATGAATTTAGGGGACCCTATTACCCCAAATTCCCGGCCGTTTCGCTTATTTAATATGAGAACTTCGCATGGCGATTACCTCAAAATTGGGGAGGATGTTTGGACATCCGATAGACGTGGAAGTCGCCAATTGGCCCTATGCCAAAACTTCAAAGCCCTCAAACATCCGCTCAAACGTCTCAACCGTAGGGAATTTGGGCACATATCGGAGACGGTGCAACGGGCTAATGAGGAACTCGAGGAAGCACAAATACGGCCGCATAATGACCGGCATAATTTGAATTTGCAATGGGAGGTGCAAACGAAGGTTGAGAAGGCCCATTTTCTTGGGAAGGCTTCTAATACCAAAAGGCGAAACTACACTATCTGAAGGATTCAGATCTCCCAACCAAATTCTTTCACGGGTTAGCACGACGAAATGCGTAATAAAACAATATCGTTTCTATCCAACGTGAGGATGACACGGTTACTACTTCGAATGAGGAGGTACTGGTGGAATTCGAGAATTTCTACAAAGTTTTCTTGGGACGAGGTTGCCGTGCGAACCAATTGATTGGGATGTGGTTCGCTTGGGACCGTTGCTTGGAAATGGGAAGAGGACAGACCTTATCGTTCAGTTGTCGCCATCGGAAGTTAATGATGCCCTCTTCAACATATCGGATGACAAAGCCGTGGGCCCGGATGGATTTACTGCCCATTTTTTCAAAAAATCATGGGCCATAGTGGGGTCGTTGCTTACGGACGCGGTCCTCGAATTTTTTCGGAGCGGTGAATTGCTGAAACAGTGGGACAACACGATGATGGTTTTCATACCAAAATCCACCCAAGCTCTCGTAGTGGGGGATTTCTGTCCGACAATATATGCTGCAATGTTATTTACAATGTGGTGGCCAAGGTCCTCACGGCCCGACTAGAGAAAGGTGCTTCCCCAAATTATCGACAAGGCACAATCAGCTTTCGTGGGTGGGAGACCAATCACGGATAATATCCACTTGGTCGAACACCTAATGCGCAATTACGAACGCAAACGGATCTCGCCTCGTTGCTTGCTGAAGATGGATCTACGAAAGGCTTATGACTCGGTGAATTGGGAATTTCTCCAATCGATGTTGGAGGGGCTGGGGTTTTCTACAGAATTCACGGGTGGGATAATGCAGTGTGTCACCTCTGTTGCCTTCACGATCTCGGTAAATGGGCAAACTAAGGGTTTTTTCCGGCTATGTGAGGGTTATGGTGAGGGGATCCGCTGTCACGGACCTTTTCGTTATTTGTATGGAGTATCTATCAAGACTATTGCACACACGTACAAGGGAACGTGAGATGAACTATCATCCCATGTGCCATCTCCACAAACTTAGTCATCTTATTTTGCGGATGAACTAATGCTTGTCTCGAGGGGTGATGTTGAATCGGTCCGTATATTGGCTAGCACGGTACTCGAGTTTGGTAGAGTATCGGGTCTTCAAGCCAATAATCTGAAATCGAGTGTGTTCCTCCCGGGAGTGGGCTACCGTGAGTGTGCCACTATTGAGGGTTCGCCACCGGGGTGTTCCCGTTGCGTTACCTCGGCATCCCTCTTGCGGCCTCTAAGCTAAAAGTGCAGAACTACCAACCCCTACTGGATAAGATAGCATGCCATCGGGGTTTGGACAAGCCAGACGCTATCATATGCAGGACGACTTGAAATCCTCAAGTAAGTAGTCCAAGGTACGTATTGTTATTAGCTTTCGATTTTTGCTATACCGGGAACGATTATTGGGCATATTGAGCAACTGTTTAAATCTCGTTCCTATGGGGAGATCGAGTGTCGAAGGTCATTGGGAATTCATTTGCAAACCAAAGGCCGAAGGAGGGTTGGGTATCCGGGATTTACGTGTTTGGAACTGGAGCCTGCTTGTCAAGAATCTATGGGATATCCACTTGAATAAAGACTCCCTATGGATTCAATGGGTTAATGAATTTTATCTCAACGGCGAATCCATATGGGGAAATTGAAAGTGGGCATGGTCTACGATTGGATTCGGCACATGGCTCTGGTTAAACCATGGGGAAAGTTAATATGGGCGACGTCGATGACGCCCCAGCACTCATTCGTTCTGTGGATGGCTGCCATGGAACGAATGCATACGATGGACCGGATGGAGTACCTCGAACTTGATGACACTTGCGTCCTTTGTGACGTACAGATGGAGAACGGGAAGCATTTGTTCTTCCAATGCAGCGTATCTAGTGAAGTATGGGACGGAATCTGCGTACGGATGGGTATTGCTAGACGACCAACGACACTCAAGGCTGCCCTTAAATGGCTCAAAAAGGAAGTCTGGGGCAACTCTTACCGAAGCAAAGCCAAAAGATGTGCATTGGCGAGCCTTGTCTACCATCTATGGGAAGCTCGCAACAAACGGCGGTGACCCATTAGATCGCCGATGATGATTAGTCCTACGGTTTCGGGGTTTAACCCCTAGAGACTTGTGTTTTTTTATGTTTTATTTCCCGTGTTTTTCTTTATGTTATGCGATTACCTCGGGTATGCCCGTTGAAATCGCACACTATAATTTTTTATTTATAATATTTACATATTCGATATAAACAAAAAAAAAAAAAAAAGAAAGAAAAGAAGAAAAGTACATGATTCTCTTTTTCATACAAGATCATCAAAGACAAGCACCTCTTAAATTTAAATAACCTACTCCAATTTCATCAATCAAACTCTAATATAACATCAATTTCATCAATTAACCAATTTTGATCATTGACCTCAATTTTAACCACTGTTGCTTTTGAACGACGTTAAGATTTTTTTTTATCAAGTCGACATAGTAACATTAATTTTTTTTTTAATGTTTTTTTTTTGGCTTTGTAAAGTAATATTAATTAATTATTATCATTTTAATTTTTTGATTTTTTTCTTTCTGACAATGGTATTGTGTTGTTGACGGCCAATGTTACTGTGTAACACAGCAAAATAAATTTTAAATGTTGTTGTATTGAACGGGTAAACATAAAATACTAGTGCGTGCTTTTAGTTAATTTTATTAATTGTGATTGATTAGAATAGTAACAAAGTAAAACACCTTTTAACACTCATTCAAAATATTAGTATTTTTATGATTTTTCTTAAGTTCTCTTTATTTTCTTCCTCAAAAAACATTTGGTATTTACTAAAGCATTTAGTACTCTTATATTTTTTTAAAGGGAAATATTGTAAAAAGAAACAAGTCAATTTATATTCAACTTTAAAATATAGTGGTGCATCGAAATCCCAATATTTCTATACTATTTTATATATGTTCAGTGTATCTTTTCTTCTTTTCCTATTAAAAGCACAAATTAAATGCGAACAATTCGTACACTTGAAATGAATTCCCATAAAAAACTAGTGCATGCTTTTGGTATTTGATATTGTCAAATACAAAGACATAGCATATATAGTTGGGGTCTTTAGAAATAAGCCCATCAATATGTACTTATTCATGAACAGATCCAGATAAAAAACTCATCTACCAATAAGTTCACATATGGTCCAGATTTTTGTAAAGGACTAAAATAACCCCTCATACTTTAATATGCTCCAATTTCATCATTAACTTTATTTAACCTCAATTTGACCCCAAATTTCACAAATTATTCAATTTTGACCCAAAACTTTTTTTTTTCAAAAAACAAAATTTCAAAAACTTTTTTTCCCGCCGGATTCCGGGCGGCGTTGACTTTTCAAATTTTTTTATTTATTTATTTTATTTTTATTTTATTTTTTTCTTCCGGATTTTTTCGCCGGTTTCTGGCGCTGACCGGCGTTGACTTTTTCGTTTTTTTTTTCTTCTTTTCTTTCTTTCTGTAACTTTTTTTTCGTTTAAACAACAATATTGTTGTGATTGACAGTAATATTAACTATATTATTGTTAAACACAGTAAAATTAAACTAAATTACAGTTTAACATAGTAATATTGCTATATTAATCTCTAGCACAGTAATATTAACACAACAAAACTCATTATTATTGTGTAATAGAGTAATATTACTATGTTGACCGTTCAACAAATGTAAACATAATAAAAAAAACCAAAAGAATTATATTACTGTGAGTGTCAATAATATTACTATAACAACAGTAACATTACCGTCAACCGCAGTAATATTACAATAATAGACAGTAATATTATTACGTTACTCCGTGAATAACTCAAACAAACAAAAAATCCAAACAAAATAATAATATTGATGTGGTTGACAGCAATATTACTATAACAATAGTAATATTACCGTGAACCACAGTAATATTATTGCGTTTACAATAATATTACAATAATAGACAGTAATATTTTTTCGTCACTCCGTGAATAACTCAAACAAAACAAAAAACCCAAAAAAATAATAATATTGATGTTGTTGACAGTAATATTATTGTGTTTACAATTATTTTACTGTCAACGACAGTAATATAATTACGTTGACTTGTTAACAAATCAAACAAAATAAAAAAAAAGAATAACAAAAAATAAAAAATCATAATATTACATTAATTTACTGTCAACGGCAGTACAATTACGTTAATTAACTTTTATTAACAGTGTAATTACGTTAAATTACTGTCAGTGACAGCACAATTACGGTCAACGTTTAGCGGCGGGCGTTAAAAAAAAAAAAAAAAAAAACTTAAAAAAACACTAAAAAAAGTCTACGCCGGAGACCGCCGGAAACCAGCGAAAAAATCCGGAAGAAAAGAAAAGAAAAAAAAATAAATTAAATTAAAAAAAAATATTGAAAAATCAACGTCGAAAAAAATCCGAAAGAAAAAAAAAATTGAAAAGTCTACGCCGGAATCCGGCGGCAAAAAAATATTTTTGAAATTTTTTTTTTTTTGAAAAAAATAAGTTTTGGGTCAAAACTGAATATTTTTTTTAATTTGTGGTGAAATTGAGATTAAATTAAGTTAAGGATGAAATTGAGCATATTAAAGTATGATCCAAAAAATCAAAATTGAATTTTTGTGGTCAAAATTTGATATTTGTGGACATAATTAATAAATTGGGGTTACAATTAAGAATTGGGTATAAAGGGTAGAGGGTAATATTGGCATATACATGAATGTTTCCTTTATTTATAATAAGGGTAAATTACAAACACCCCCTGAGGTATGGTCAAATTACAAAAACACCCCTCTTGTTTGGATAATTACAACCACCCCCTCAACTCCTCAAATTTAGTGGAATCTTCGAGATTATATGGAATATTATCACTTTTTTACCTGTTTTATCCCATTCAAACTCTACATTATGAAGCAAGATGATCATAATATGTGATTTTTAGCTTGTATATATCAGTTTGTAGTGCATCGAAAACTGCATTTTTACACAAAACGAGTACAATTATAGCACATTTCACGGAATCTAAATGATTATGTTGAATTTGGCACCATAAGGGTGGAGGTGTAAGAAAAAATCATAGTTGAGGGGGGTAGTTGTAATTATCCAAACAAGAGGGGTGTTTTTGTAATTTGACCATACCTCAGGGGGGTGTTTGTAATTTACCCTTATAATAAATATTAAAGAGATGGACTTATTGGTGAAAGAGATATAGCCCCTAAACCTAGAATAATAAAGATGCTTGGTTGGTGACTTATCCACAAAAACCCCTATATAGAGTTATGTTTAATAAACTAGACATATATATCTTTTTTTTATAAGCATCTAGGCATATATATCACAATGTATAATTAACAGTGCATGCATGTATATCTCAATAACCGTATACTTGGTTTTACACCTTATTTTATAAAATTACAATTAATATATAGTTTTTAGTAAAACACATGGCAAAGTACACATTTATTTACCAAATCATATTATGATCTCATATATATATATGTGTGTGTATATATGTAAATATATGTGTATATACACACATACACATGAGTGCGTACGTTTTATTATATTAATTCTTCATGGCCTTGCTTCGTGTGAAGACTAGACCAGAGCCCTTGAACTTGGTCTCAATGAGCTTATCCATGCGTTCAGCCATGGCGGGAGTGAGATAATTCATCCAGTCTACAACTTCTCCCTTCCTAAAGTACGAACTTTTCTTCAATATACCATAAACATGTCCATTCTTGTTCACCTCCAACTTCTTCAAATTCTCAAAGCTGCATAGCTTTGTGATTTCTTCAACCACGCCTTGTTCTTCTTCCTCCAGCGAGAAACGGCACTCAAGAAACTCGGCAATTTTCTTCACATTGAAACCAATATCCTCTTTCAAATCCTCATACTTTCGAACAACACTTTACGAGGATTCTCCAAATGGGTCCAGAATCCAAGAACATGGTCCCAAAAGGGCCCCATAATATAATTAATTCCCCTGCAAAATATGTCGAAAGCCTCGTCCAACTCGACTGGGGTGACAACTTTTACGAACTTGTTTTCAAGTGAGAAATGGAGATATGGGATGAACATATCCAAAGGGTTTCCGCAAATGTAGATAATCCTACATTTGGACTTGGATGGACTTGGGGAAGCTATGCAAAGGCACGTGAGTCCCGGAATTTTGAATGTTTTGGAGATCGGGATTTTCTTGATCCCAATAACGATCGAATTTGAGGTTAGGAAAAAGATGAGGAGTATGGCAAGTGAAAAAAGGGTTTCATCATGATTAGGATTAATATTGTGATGGACTGTGGAAAAAGTGAGGGATTTCAGGCAGGTGGTTCCTGATTTAGGTAGGCTTGCCAATATTATATCAGAATCCTTTGCTTTGAAGTGCTTTTGAGACGACAATATTTGTCGGAATAAATACAACGCACACCAAAAGCCTTGGTATTTAACGAATCTGACGCCATCCTAATTGGTTTGTTGTTCGAGTGTTTTGAGCAACTCATGGAACTCGTGATCCTTTGGACAATTATCAGTTTCTGCAAAAGAAAGATTTTGATCTTCTTTTTACTCCATTTATCGAAAGTTCAAAATATATTAACCCCTTATAAAAAAAATGTTATATACAATGATATATGACAGTTTCTTGTATAGTTACCTAGCTAGCCTGATGATTTTATATTTGGAACTAATTAATCTTAACATCATTTCAAGATATGTGCCAAATAAATGGTCAATCAATTCATTTTAGAAAGAGTTTTAACATGTAAAGTTCATGTAATAACAAAAACATGATAATTAGTGCACCCCATCAAAACTCAACCATCAATACTACATATATATGTTTGATGAGTACAATAATAGAAGATTAAGTAGACTAAAATAATCTTAGTTTACTTCTCCTAGATGATGAAGAATACACACATTTCAGTCTCATTGTAATAATCGCGTTTTAATTGAATCTACTTATACGTGCACGTTTATATATATCTAATATAAGCTTAATTCTGCATTTATGTATAATTGTTTTAGGCAGAGATTATTA